AGTATCAGAAAATTACTAGAGCTAATCAGTGAATTTATCCAAGTTGCAGGATACAAAATCGATACACAGAAATCACTTGCCTTTCTATATACTAACAATGAAAAATCAGAAAGAGAAATTAAGGAATCAATCCCATTCACCATTGCAACAAAAAGAATTAAATATCTAGCAATAAACTTACCTAAGGAGACAAAAGAACTCTACACAGAAAGTTATACGACACTAATGAAAGAAATCAAAGATGACATAAACAGATGGAGAGATATTCCATGTTCCAGGGTAGTAGTTATCAACATTGTAAAAATTACTATACTACCAAATGCAGTCTGTAGATTCTGTGCAATCCCTATCAAATTACCAATGGAATTTTTCACAGAACTGGAACAAAAAATTTCACAATTCATATGGAAGCACAAAAGACCCTGAATAGCCAAAGCAGTCTTGAGAAAGAAGCATGGAGCTGTAGGAATCAACCTTCCTGACTTCAGAGTATACTACCAAGCTACAGTCATCAAGACAGTATGGCACTGGCACAAAAACAAATATAGACCAATGGAGCAAGATAGAAAGCCCAAAAATAAACCCATGCACCTATGGGTACCTTATTTTTGACAAAGGAGGCAAGAATATACAATGGGACAAAGACAGCGTCTTCAATAAATGGTGCTGGGAAAACTCGACAGCTACATGTAAAAGAGTGAAATTAGAACACACTTCCTAAAACCATGCACAAAGATAAACTCAAAATGGATCAAAAACCTAAATGTAAGACCAGAAACTATAAAACTCTTAAAGGAAAACAGGCAGAACACATGATGACATAAATCAAAGCAAGATCCTCTATGACCCACCTCCTAGACTAATGGAAATAAAAGTAAACAAGGGGGACCTCATTAAACTTAAAAGCTTTTGCATAGCAAAGAAAACTATAAGCCGGGTAAAAAGACAACCCTCAGAATGGGATAAAATAATAGCAAATGAAACAACTGACAAAGGATTAATTTCCAAAATATACAAACAGCTCATACCACTCAAAGCCAGAAAAACAAACAACCCGATCAAAAAGCAAAAGAGACACCTAAACAGACTTTTCTCCAAAGAATACATACAGATGGCTAACAAACACATGAAAATATTCTCAACATTACTCATTTGAGAAATGCAAATCAAAACTACAATGAGATATCACCTCACACTGGTCAGAAAGGCTACAAACAAAAAATAATCCAAAAGTCTACAAACAATAAATGCTGGAGAGGGTATGGAGAAAAGGGAACATTCTTGCACTGTTAGTGGCAATATAAATTGATACAGCCACTATGGAAGATGGTATGGAGATTCCTTAATAAACTAGGAATAAAACCACCACATGATCCAGCAATCCCACTCCTAGGCATATACCCTGAGGAAACCGAAATTGAAAAAGACACATGTATCCCATTGTTCATTGCAGCACTGTTTACAATAGCTAGAATACGGAAGCAACCTAGATGTCCATCAATAGATGAATGGGTAAAGAAGTTGTGGCACATATTCACAATAGAATATTGCTCAGCCATAAAAAGGAACGCCTTTGAGTCAGTTATGATGAGGTGGATGAACCTAGAACCTATTATACAGAGTGAAGGAAGTCAGAAAGAGAAAGAAATACCGTATGATAACACATATATACGGAATGTAGAAAAATGGTACTGAAGAGTTTATGTACAAGGCAGCAGTGGAGAAACAGAATAGACTTATAGACATGTTGAGGTTTGACAGAAAACAACAAAATGCTGTGAAGCAATTATCCTTCAATTAAAAAAAAAACACTGTCATATGTGTTTGAGATATAAGGGTTAATAAGACACAGTTCTTGTTCTAAGAGAAGTTACAGTTTGACATAATCAGACTTTATATTCCCAAAATAAACCTAAGTGAAATGTCACTAATAGACTACTTTAGATGACTTTTATAAATGACTAAACAGTTTCAACAGCATCAAGAATTAATGTAGCAATCCATATTACATACAACAGTTGATCTTTGGTATATCAGTTTTCATGTCCATTCAAGCTCTCTTATTCTCAGAATGTACAGTTGAAGATGGTCCCATGGTGTTTTGGCACCAGAGTACCCTTTGTTTATGATTTGTATATAATGGCTGTGAGGCTCCTTTCTTTGTGAATTTGGAAATAAAATGTGTAGATTCTCCCTGAAAACAATAGGAAATAAGTTTTATTTATATTTAATAAGGGTAATTGTAAAATAACCTTCCAAAGCAGTTAGTCTCCAGTAGATAAAATGTTGTGGTACTCCTCTGGTACACTATGGAATATAATTAAACTCTATATTGTATGGTTACCGTCAGAGAGTTCAGAGTGCTTTGAACTCATGGCCCCTGAAGGGTTGGAAATGAGCTTAAAGATATCCTACCAATTTATTTGACTGGGAAACTCATATTCAGAGAAGATACATGTTTTCCTCAAGGACATTCATCGAGTGAGAAGGAATATTGTGATTTTACCTAAGGATTCTGTGTCTAATCCAGAATTCTTTCAAGCTATGAATTATTCATAAACATATTTTTGGAGGGAAAGTCATATCTCTAATAGTTAAAAGATTTTTTTACACAAGCAGACAATGCTTGAATTAAAATTTCTACTGTCCCATTAGATGTCCATCAGCAGACGAATGGATAAGAAAGCTGTGGTACATATGCACAGTGGAATATTCGGTTCAGTTCAGTTCAGTCACTCAGTCATGTCTGACTCTTTGCGACCCCATGAATCACAGCACGCCAGGCCTCCCTGTCCATCACCAACTCCCGGAGTTTACTCAAACTCATGCCCATCGAGTCGGTGATGCCATCCAGCCATCTCATCCTCTGTCGTCCCCTTCTCCTCCTGCCCCCAATCCCTCCCAGCATCAGGGTCTTTTCCAATGAGTCAACTCTTCGCATGAGGTGGCCAAAGTATCAGAGTTTCAGCTTCAGCATCAGTCCTTTCAATGAACACCCAGGACTGATCTCCTTTAGGATGGACTGATAATGGAATATTACTCAGACATTAAAAAGAATGCATTTGAATCATTTCTGATGAGGTGGATAAAACTGGAGCCTATCATACAGAGTGAAGTAAGCCAGAAAGAAAAACACCAATACAGTATACTAACACACATATATGGAATTTAGAAAGATGTTAACGATAACCCTCTATGCAAGACAGCAAAAGAGACACAGATGTATAGAACAGTCTTTTGGACTCTGTGGGAGAAGGTGAAGGTGGGATGATCTGAGAGAATAGCCTTGAAACATGTATATTATCATATGTGAAACAGATCGCCAGTCCAGGTTGGATGCATGAGACAAGTGCTCAGGGCTGGAGCACTGGGAAGATCCAGAGGGATGGGATGGGGAGGAAGGTGGGAGGGGGGATCAGGATGGGGAACACATGTAAATCCATGGCTGATTCATGTCAATGTATGGCAAAGACCACTACAATATTGTAAAGTATAAAATACATAAATTTTAAAGTAAATAAATAAATTGACATCTAATCTTTAAGTCAGCTTATCTTGAAGCCAAGAAAATGGTATTATCAAAAGAATGGATATTTCTTTGCAGTACTCTGGTTAAGTTAAACTTGCTTACTTACAGGGTTGCCCTTTTAGATGTGGCAGCATAAGTTGTATTACGGGGGCCTGCTCTGGGGTATAGTCTTGTTTTTCTGGTGGCCATTCTTTTAAGAAAGGTATCCTGAATCTGGAAATAGTGTAGAAACTGACAGCTAGCGTTGAGAGAAGAGGGTCAAGTAGACTTCATTTGAGAATATAGGTTTTAAAAATTAGATTCTATTGTTCTGCAAAAGTGAAATTTGGATCAAGAAAAGGAAATGGGGTGATAAAAGCATGGTAGAAAGAGAAGAGGACAGGAGCCAGCATCTGACTGTCAGCTATGATGAGTGATTTAAAGATTTTAGTCTGTTAAGTGGTTAATCTCAAATCTTGATATGCTTTTTTATACCTGGTCTGTAAACCTTAGTATCTGTCAGGAAGCAGGATTCATGAGAGAAAGTGGAGTACTTACATTGATATTTGTATTGACTTTTAGTTTATAAGCTGCTAAGTCACTTCAGTCGTGTCTGACTCTGTGCGACCCCATAGACGGCAGCCCACCAGACTCCCCCATCCCTGGGATTCTCCAGGCAGGAACACTGGAGTGGGTTGCCATTTCCTTCTCCAAGTTTATAAGCTAGTTTATTTTAAAAAATTAGACATTTTTAGGAAATGGTGTTAAATATCCTGAGTCTTTTGTATGTCTTTTATTAATTCATTTTGTGTACTATTTCCTGAGGAGTTTTTACTTGTTGAAAGGCTTCTTTTTGCTTTCTCTAAATGTTCATCCTTGTTCTTAAAAAACTTAGTCTGGGTTTCTACCATATTAGTGTTTGGGAATGACTTGGGAGTGGTAATGGCTCTCTTGATTAGAATAAATGATAGATTCAGAAGGAAAACATTTCTTACTTTGTTTAACATTCCTCAAATTTGGTATCTTTTTAGATAGATTTTGAAGAAACTATAATCCAATTAAAAAATAAAAAGGCACTTGGAATCCTTTTTTTTTTTTTTTTTTTTTTACATAAACAGTTATTTAGTGGGTTCATTACCAGGATTTGTTTTCTTAACTGTTAAAAAGGAATAAGAAAAAAAAGCAATCAAAGTTTTTCCTTTTGAGTTGGAAAATTAGGTCACAATAGAAATTTGATATTGTTTCTTCCTGCCCACTATTCTGCTCTGAGAATTATTGTAATTAGTATATTAAAAGTACAGATTCATTACCAAAAACAGCTTTATCACCAGATATTTGGTTCTTCAAACCTGAAGTTAAAATCAAATCTCTACTTAGGTTTATTTTTCTGAAGTCTATCGAATATGCAGGTGACAAGAATATTTATGTTTATTCCTTAGCCACGTTCAAACAGTTTTGACCTTCCTCTGTGCAACATCTTTTGTATCTCTAGGCAACAGGAAAGGATAAATTCACAGAGGGAAGAGATAGAAAGACAACGAAAAATGTTAGCAAAGCGGAAACCTCCTGCCATGGGACAGGCCCCTCCAGCAACCAATGAGCAGAAACAGCGGAAAAGCAAGACCAACGGAGCTGAGAATGAAACGTATGTTCTTTATTAATGCAAACTGAGATACCGTATTCTCCCCTGAGATACAAACCTCCTGTTGAATGCCACTGGAAGAAGTGATAAATTGTGGAGATTTCTAGAGCTTAATCTTTCTTTTTAGTTACATTAATAGAATTGCTCAACTCATATAAAAGTTGTACACAATTAACTCATTTCTTAGTCCTAATTTTATATGAGAAGTTTCAAATGAGAGGGAGAAAAAAATGTCATTTAACTTGATGTCATGATTTTTGGCCACTCTTAAAACAAATGTGATGTCATTGTCATATTCAAATGATATAATTGCTTATGTGTGCTTCCAGGTTGTGGTATGTTGGTATCACCTTAAGGGAATTATCTGGCTCTATTTCAGACTGAAGAAGGCACAAGTGAAGAATGCTATTTAGTAGTCTGAAGAACACTAGTTACCACTCACAAATTTAGATGTAACCTAAGAAAAAATAGGTATTATTTTAGGAAAAGAACATTTTTCCAGTAAGCCAAATCTTGACATTCCCAGTTGTTGTTTATTTATTTATTTATTTTTTCTGTTCTGGGAACCTAAGGAAAACACCAGTATCTTCAGTTGCAGTGTAGTCATCTTTTGCACTGCTAGTCAACAAGTATTCCATAGTTACCATGAATAGGAGCAGTAGAATATTCAGAGTACAGATGCCTTCTTTCTTCACTCTCGCCCCATATCAAATTTCCCTAATTGACTTTTGAATTCTTGACCACTAAGAGAATCTTCCGCTAGGACAGGCAGCAGCACACTTTTTCTCCATTGGGCCAGATAGTAAACACTTCAGGCTTCGCACACTAGAGACTCTCTGTTGCCACTCCTCAACTCTACTGTTATAGCTTGAAAGCATTCATAGGCAGCACGTAAGTGAATGGGTGTGGCTATCTCCAGAACAGATTACGAGCTGACTGGCTCACAGGTTGTAGTTTGCCAAGTAGGCAGGACTGCTAAACAGTTAGAATTGGCATGGGAAATAAAACCAGCAAATTACTTACCTATTTAAAACATTTCTTATTCATGCTCATCACCGCTGTCTTTAAGAGATTTTCCAATTAAAAGGGAAGAAGAGATCTATAAATGTGTAGAAAATCTCTGCGATGGTAGCCATAAAGTCAGTTTCTGAATTAGAAGTTTGAATATTTGAAATATAAAACATATTTTTCCTAGAAACATTCATTGGTATTATAATCAGTATTTCCTTAGTGGCCACATTGGTTTTTCAAGGGAAAGAGAAATTTTTTAAAGCTGTCATTGTGGGGTTAATGGTAGCTACAAATGAGAGCTAATGATACCATGAAATTTATTGACTAATATGTCTTTTGCCTTTAGTGTTTTCTTGTTAGTTCACAAAAACATATTAACCCATAATCCACTTCAAGTGTAAAAATACTTGGTACCATAGTTAAAAGTGCATGACATCCCAGAAATATATCTTTCTTCATTCCAGTGAGAAAGCTGGTTTAACACCAGCCCTCACCCAATACATACCTGATACCTTGGGGAGGCTTTTGCTTGACATTCATTTAGTAAGTCTGTGTTAAATGCTTATTATAGGTTCGGCCCTGTTCTGGACACCAGGGTGCAGAGCTGAAGGAGACAGCCCAGCCTTAGGACTCACAGTTTATTTAGGGAAAATGGACAGATGAATAAACTAATAGTTACTTTAAGTGTCGTGATAAAGGTATGCACAGTGATTAAGTTTGGAAAATGTCTTCACATATTTTAAAACTAGAGTCTAAGCAATACCCCTTTCAAAAAGTCCAAGTGGGAGACTTTCCTGCTGAACCAGTCACTAAGACTCCATGCTCCCAATGCAGGGGACCCGGGTTTGATCCCTGATCAGGGAACTAGATCCCACATGCTATAACTAAGAACTTCTCATGCAAGAACTAAAGATCCCAAATGCTGCAACTAAGACCTGGAGCAGCCAAAAAAAAAAAAAAAAGTCCAAGTAGCAACCCAGTTTTGAAGAATTCTTTAGGCAAAAGTTGTACACATTACTCTGATTATTATCTTCTTTCATAACTCCTACATTTATTTTGTGAAGGAACTCTCTTTCCAATATTACTTGAAAATTATTTCATGCCAATGAATAAAACCATTGGCAGAAGTAGTAAAGTGGGCACAGTTGGTTTTTTTTTTTTTTTTGCCATAGAATCATAATTAGAATTCGGTCTAAGCTAGTAGAGTGTAAGTAAGCAGTTGCCATCTGGAGTCCTGAGTAAAATCCAAGCTGGAAGGCCTTTGGTCTAGTCTTTAATATTTAAAGCATCCGTGGCTCATTCCCTTGGCCAGAAGCCAAAAATATTCCTCTTGTGTTGGAATGGATTTTATTATCCTTTCCTGGTACTTAATGTGTTTCAGGTAGAAAGAATTGTAAGCTATGATTTTTCTCATTTCTCCCTTTTTTACTGGTATGATATGGGATAATAGATGTGAGTATTTCTGCAACTATGAAAAGAGAGGTGTGTGAACCCTAATGGGAGTATTTCTTGCTATTTTCATCTTCTTTTAGTCAGACCTCAGCAACTTTATTTTGTAGCTCTTCCTGGTTGATAGGATAGCTGTTTCTTCTTTCTCCTGCTATTTAGAATATATCTAAACAGTGACATCTAAAACTTTGAAGTATATATGTGTGCTTCTAGAATGTGAAGAGGGTGAAGATGGAAGAGTAAGCTATCACTTCTTACATGCTCATTCTTGAGAAATGAGGATGCGATCAGGGTAGGTAGAACATGAAATGATTGCCCGTGAAGTCAGCCCTTTGAGAACTGTGTTGAGTAGTATTTCACAAAGTATAGATCCCTTTCATATTCTCGTTGGAACAGTCACAACAGCTTTTTTAGATGGGTGTCATTGCTTGCTGTGTTTTTAGGAAATAGAGGTTAAAGTTGCTTGCCCAAGGTCACATGGTCAGAATTGTGAACCCTAGTCCTCAGACTCCAGATCCTGGACTCTGTCCTTTAGGTTCTTCTCCTTGTATCAAAGTCCAAGAATTATCAAAAATAACCAAATATGTTGGCTTATTAATATCCCTCTTAAAAAACTTGTAGACATATAATTTCCAATGGATTTCCAATGGATTTTATCTGAATAAGATATATGACCAAACTAATTTCAAAAGTAGTGTAAAAATAGAGGTCATTTATTTTTCTCATTTTTTTTTTTTTTGGATAAATTAGACTTCCAGCTTTGAAGTCCTTTGTTCACATCACATCTGATAAATCACAGAAGTTTTCTCTTGTCAAAGAACTGTGAGATAATCTATCTTTTGGTCATTTTAACTAAGTTAAAATGAATATACTGTATAGTATTCTTTGGCATTTCTCTTTAAATAAGCACATTATGATTTCAAATAATTTACTGAAATTTCTGTCATTATTTTCCAGGTTAACATTAGCAGAATACCATGAACAAGAAGAAATCTTCAAACTCAGATTAGGTCATCTTAAAAAGGCAAGTATAATGAGAAAATGTGTGAAGAAATGCAATTTTTAGTTTACATTTGGTGTTGAAGTTGTTTGGGCATTTGAGCAGATAATAGCTTCACATACCTGTGGAAATCATCAGTAGTTACTTTGTGTCGCACCTGTGTTCTAATGGTGGCGGTCGTGTCTTTTCAACTTGCAAGTCAGCTCCATGCCCCCAATAAGAGTGCCTTTTCCACCAATGATATACCTATACTTCATTCTGTATACCTCATAGGGCCCCACAAGTGATTATCTTTTTAGTAAAAAATAATATAAAGTAAGAGCAGATGGTTCTGAAATTGAAGTTATTGTGATGTAAATCACATAGCAGCTCTCATCTCTTACCTAACTGGCTAAGAAAAGAAGGTGGTGCACCAACCATATTGTAACACAAAGGCACCCACATAGAATTTGTTGTTGACAGTGTTCACAGAGTTATCTTTGATGTAGATCACTGTCTCTTAAATTCAGCAGCTTATCAGGAAGATGCTTTTTGGTGGGTGCTGCTTATCAGGAAGATGATCAATAAGTATTTAATAGATTCCTCTTAAGATGTGCTTGTCGTCTCTCCCTTGCCCTTCTCAGATCTTGTTAAATCAGTGGAATTTAAAAGCACTAAGTAGAATCGCAGTTATAGAACAGAACCAGTTAGAGAACCTGATTTGTGTTTTTTAAAAAAAGAAAAAAAGATTGCATGCCTGTATGTATACATACAAAACATTTCTGGAAACTTACACAAGGAACTTAACAGTGATTGTATCTGGGGAGTGGCCATGAAGAGGGCGGAAGCTTTTCACTTTTCCTGCTGTTCTTCTCTGTATGGTTTGAGTTTTATTTATTATTTTGCTGTAGGATCATTTTTATGATTAAAATTCCAGTTCTTAAAAAAATCTTTTTCAATGCAAAACATCTCAGCTTTTCATAAGAAGGATGTCTGCTTTTGTTTTTGAAATGAGAGTCTAAAAAGGTAAAGTTTCCTGTGTTCTAAACTGTTTCTTTCCTTTTCACTTTAGGAGGAAGCAGAGATCCAGGCAGAGCTGGAAAGGCTAGAAAGGGTTAGAAATCTACATATCAGGGAACTAAAAAGGATACATAATGAAGATAATTCACAGTAAGCAACTTGGGGGTATGTTGGGTTGGAGATTGCTGAATACTTTCTGACATGAATTGCCCAGAATATTTTTGCTTATTGTAAATTTGGTGAACCATTCCATGGTGTATTTAACTCTGTTGTAGGTGTAATAATACATTTTATGAACAAAATTATGATTTGCACTGGTTTAAATACATATAAATATATTAGGTTTATATGTTAAGTATATATTTATACATACAGCAATCTTACTCACAGAGAGGTCATTAAAGCAATGTAACTTTGCAGTCGCAAATGGTTTAGGTACATTGTGTACTCAGATTTACCCTCCTAGCCTTACTGAAGAGGGAAGCATTAGGGTAACAGTGGGGTGGTGTGGAAAGACTGTTGGGTTGAAAATGACACTCAGTTTCTTAATGACCTTTATAGGTCATTAAAGTGTTGAGATTTTTAAGAAAGACTCAAGTTCAATACATTAATTGTAGATAAATGCTCATCTTTGTAAGCCATTTAAGGAATTAAAACTGTGAAAAGTAGATTGTAAGTGGCAAGTGGCTTCTAACCATAATCCTTTTATTTGCCCCACATTCTTCTAATTCTGAAACATGGAGGTTTTGGCATAGCTACAGCTTGTGTATTTTTGTTTGGCCAGAGTGAGCCATGGACTTGGCTTTCTGGAAGTGGCAGCAACAGTAGCTACCATTACTGTGCACTTTCTGTGTTAGGCAGAGTGCTGAGTGCCCCTGTGTTCTGTCAGTTAGTTGTCACAGTAGCCCATTGCAGTAGGTCATTTTCAATAGATAGATCTGGAAAGTGGCTTAGAGAAATTAACTTGTCTAGGGACTAGTGTGACCAAACAAAGAGTTGAGATGTGGCTCTGACTCCACAGTGAGACCCCATGCAGTGATGTCACCTCTCTACACAGGCGTGCCACTGTCTCAAAATCAAAATAAAGTACTTTCAGAATTATTAGGGCTGATGAGGAACTAGGTAGAAACACCTAAAAGTTATTTTTGCCAGAATCTCTCATTTCTTTATCTTATTGCTAGAAAATGATACAAGATGGAATCCTCTATGGGGAAAACAGTTATATCATGAAGACGTAAAGAGAGAAAATGAATGCACATAGAACATGTGACTCACTTTATAATGAGATCTGTTTTTAAGGCCACGTGAACTATCTTGGGATTTTATTGTATGTTTCTGAATGGAGGGAACGTGTGGTTCTTGGAGGACCCCGGTGGTCTGTAGGACCCCGGCAGCACAGTTTGGAAATCCCTGGCCCAGTACACAGCCCTGCACCCCCTGTTTGATGGCAGGGCAGAAAGAGAGGGAAGCCACCGAGGGCCACCAGTCTAACTGTGGCTGTGCTGCGGCTGGCGCCTGGCTCTCATGACTCCACAGCTAGTGTCGTTCATCATAGTTACGCCATCTCGTTGAACCATAGAGTTTTTCCTATGCTCAGAATTAGCTATATTGTGATGATTGCCAAACTGTTGGCAGCATCTGTAATTGTATGTATAACACGTCAGACATTCTGGAAATTTCACAAACATGGAAAATTGTGTAGTCCTTGACCTCAGGATGTTGTTGTTTTATATTCTGTTTCCACAGATTTAAAGATCATCCAACGCTAAATGACAGATATTTGTTGTTACATCTTTTGGGTAGAGGAGGTTTCAGTGAAGTTTACAAGGTAAGTATGAGGAACTGGGTATAGAGACTGAGAGTTAAGTTATTGGTTATTACAAACTTAGAAAACATTTAAAATAGTGATAGAATTGTGACTGATATTTACTGGCCAAAATTCCAAACTGTTAAGAACCTGTGTATTGAAATGATCCCTTGGAGAAGAGATGGCAACCCACTCCAATATTCTTGTCTGGGAAATCCCAAGGACAGAGGAGCCTGGTGGGCTATGGTCCACGCGGTCGCAAAAGAGTCAGACACAGCTTAGAGTCTAAACAACAACAATCTTTGGGAGAACTGCTTCTAGTAAACTTGTGACTAAGCAGGAGTCAATATTTTACCCTGTTTATCAAGTTTGAAGAGTAATTATAGATTAAAAAAAACAAATAGAGAAAATAGCACCATTTCTGGATAATGGAATAGTGGTGATTTTTATTCTAGTTTTGTGCTTTCTGCCTCATCTGTATTTGTTAGAGATGAGTGCTATTTTTATTCTAATAAGATTTATATATGTGCGTGTATATATATATATAAATAAAATGTTTAAAATAGATGTACTAAAATGTTAATTCTTTGAAAACCTGGTTTTTGCTTTTAAAGTGTTGGCATCTTCCAACATCTTCCAGAATGTTTAGTAACACTGGTTTTGCTGAAGGGTTGTCCTGGCTTAGAGTGCTTCACTTGGCCCAGCAGAGTCCAGACTCCTGTGCCCCCCAGTTGGTTTTCTGTGAATGAGAGATTCTGCCTGTCTTAAATACAGCTGTGGATATATAATACGCTCACCAGCCACAGCTGCCTTGAATTTCTCTGTTTCTGGCACCTGGCATTTAAATGCCCAATTAGTTTATTAATTGGTCTTTACTGCATGACCCTAGTAATTCTGTCTTTTCTAAGTTGTAGCCTATACTGTTAATGATTTATGTTATGCCCATATGAATTTTTAGGGAAAAGTTTTCAATTGGCAATAATCGTGCCTCGGATAAACCTCATTGGCTACGATACTGCCACTGCGCAAAGCTCCATATGAATTTTTATATAGAAAATCTTTTGAGTAAAATACTTCTTACTTCAGATAAAAACATTAGTTTTTCTTTTTTTCTCTTTTTTAATGTTAATTTTTTACTGTGGTGATGTATACATGACACCTACCATTTTAACCATTTTTAAGTATACAATTCAGTGGCATTATGTATACAATGTTGTGAAAGTATCATCACTTCCCGTTTCCAGAATTAGGATAATATTTTTAGTGTACTGCTGGGTTTAATTTTTTAGTATTTTGCTCATATTTTTAATCTGTGATCATAAGTGGTATTGGCTTACAGTTGTTTTTTTATGTGCAGGCAGCATTGTCTAGCTTTGATGTCATAGTTATTCCAGAAGGAGTTGTGAAATTTCTTTTTTCCCATGTTCTGGAATGCTTTGCATTACGTGTTGGCTATGTGGAAGTTGTTAGTGCTAAATCATAAAATCAGCTGTGTGGTTGTCATTTTAGAGGAAAAAATAGCCTTTTCAGTTTCTTCTACAAATATTGACCTATTCAGACTTTCTTCCCATTCGTTTTTTTTTTTTTAGTATATGTGCTGCCGAAGTGAACTTTCTTCCCATTCTTAAGTCAGTTTTGATAATTCATTTTTCCTGGAGAATCATCCTATTTCTTCTTGATTTCCATACTTTATAAGTTATTTCTCTTATGAAATGTTTATTTTTGTATCTCGTGATTAATAGGCCAGAAGTTGGTTAGTGTTTTTTTTCCCCTCTGGAGATTAACTTTTTATTTTTGTTAATCAGATCTACTATTTGATTTGTTTTGTTTTGTTTTCATTGACTTTTGCTTTCAAACCTTCCTTCTGTTTAGTTTTCATTCTTGAGTCATATACTTAGTTTATTATTGGGATAATTTAAAAATTGTGATAAAAACACATAGCATAAAAATTACTAACTTAACCTTTTTTAAGTGTTCAGTTGTTGCTGTTCAGTCACTCAGTCATGTCCAACTCTTTGTGACCCTATGGATTGCAGCACGCCAGGTTTCCTTTTCCTTCACTATCTGTGGGAGTTTGCTCAAACTCATATCCATTGAGTTGATGATGCCATCCAACCATCTCATCTTTCATTGTCCTCTTCTCCTGCCTTCAGTCTTTTCCAGCATCAGGGTCTTTTCCAATGAGTCAGCTCTTTGCATCAGGTGGCCAAAGTATTGGAGCTTCAGCATCAGTCCTTCCAGTGAATATTCAGGGTTGATTTCCTTTAGGATTGACTAGTTTTGATTCCTTGCTGTCCATGGGGCCCTCAAGAGTCTTCTCAGTTCAGTAGTGTTAGATATCTTCATGTTGTTCTGAAACAGATCTTCAGAACTTTTTCATCTTGCAAAACAGGAGCTGTATGCACTAATAAGCAGTTGTCCTTTTCCTTCTCTCTCCAGCTGCCTGTAACCACAATTCTACTTTATATTTTTATTAATTTGATTATTTTTCAGTAGCTCATGTGAGGAATCACACAGTGTTTGTCTTTTTGTGACTGGTTTATTTCATTTACCATAATGTCCTCAAAGTTCATCCATGTTGAAGCATGTGACAAGATTTTCTTCTTTTTAAACTTGGATAACCCCCAGATTGTATATATATACTTCATTTTCTGTATCCATTCGTCTGTCAGTTGACATTGGCATTGCTTCCTTCTCTTATCTGTTGTGAATAGTGCTGCTTTGAGTACACATGTGCAGATATCTCTTTGCGATCTTGCTTTCAGTTCTTCTGGCTGTATACCCAGAAGTGGGACTATTTCTTTTTTAAAATCATCAAAATTGGTTCTTGGTGCTTCACTTGTTAGTGATTTCTTCATGTTTTTTCCTATTCTTCAAACATTTTAACACTTCTGAAATCTAAATGTGTCTTACAACAATATGTACATTAATGTATTCTTTTGCTGTTTTCCATATAGCCCTTCTTAGATCATTGGTGAATCACAGTGTTTTCAACTCAGAAATAGGTTTTGATAATAGGAAAAAAATGACACTTGTAGTTCATTAGTGCTCTTACAAATTAGGTGATATTTACTCTGGCTTTTAATGGCTTGATATGGTTCTCTCCTATAAAGCCATGATGGATACATGCATACAGGTGGACTTTAGATTCTGTAGGAAAAATAGAGTTGAAAAGTTTGCATTTCTGTTTGAATTGAATGGTTTTTGTATTTTAAAAATACTGGTTTAAATTTGGTATATATTAGAAGTTTCTTTTATAAGCAGGTCTCTCTTGTATCCTGTGCTTTCCTAGAGGTAGCTTGTCTTTTAAAAGACCTGTAGGACAGTAATCACCACTCTTCATGGCCTGTGTAACCTCTGCCTGTTGTCTTCATCTGTTCATACGTTTGTGGAAACTGGCAGATAGGTGGTAATAACATTGGAACTGAAACAGTTTTTAATTTGGACTTTAAAGCCAAATTCATTCTAAAAAAGTTCCTCAAAAAATTGTATTGGGGAATTCTGTTGTAAAATGCTACTTACTTTTTCAAATTATGATGTACACCAGGCATCCTTGAAAATCTGTTACCTTTTTTTACCCCACAATCTAGCACCACTGAGCTGATCTGGAACTTGTACCAACAGTGGTGGCCTTTGGGGAAAGCATGTCCCTTTTTTTGGATGGTGCTGGACAAGTGACTAGCTTCTGACATTGTTGAGATCCAAAATTACTTTTTAGTTATCCAGTATGTAGGGGTGAGACTAAACAAACTTAGCAAAGAGGTGTGTCCTGTTTCTTAAGGAAGCAGATAGTCTATGTCCCTAGCGTTTCAAAAGTGGCAGGACCTCTGAACCTAAAACTGCTCTAAAAATAAAACCTATTAAAAAATATTTACAAAAAGGAAAAAAAAGTGGCAGGACTTACTGTTGAAGAATGTCAAGTCCCAGAACCAGCTGAGGAACAAGAGCCAAGAGGGGAGAAAGGTCCCAAATACGGTAGATGATATCCAGAAAGAGAGTTGTTTAGAAGTGACTGTTAAGGCATGGACTGTCTTTCTGTTTGTGGCATATGTTAGGTTTTATTTTCTAAACCCCTTGGTGCCAGTGTGTCTGGAGACTTCTCGATTGTCTCATAACAAGCTTCAAGAAAGATGATTACAACTCTGAAGGAAGTGTGCTGTCCACTGCTCTTGTTATTTAATAATGCATTTTGGACTTTTGAGTATGTTAGTCTGTTAAGCAGAAGTTTCTGGTCAGTTACCTGTAATTCTTGTTAGCATTATCCACAATATAACTTATTCCTTTTCTTTATAGGCATTTGATCTAACAGAACAAAGATATGTAGCTGTGAAAATTCACCAGTTAAATAAAAACTGGAGAGATGAGAAAAAGGAGAATTACCACAAGTAAGTGATACTAGAGTATCTGATTTTTCAAAATTTAGTAATAATAGCTGTAGTTTGAGCACTGTGTTAAGAGCTTTACATGCATTGCTATTGTTTCATTTAATCCTCATAACTGCCCTTGGAGGGTAAATAAATCTTCCATCTTACTGTTAAGGAAATTGATACTTAGAGAATTGAGTAACAGCTAAGAAATGGCTGAGCCTGTATTTAAATCCAGACTTCCCTTAATCCAGGCCCATGTGTTTAACCCTCCCCTTCCATTGTTCCTCTAAAAGTAGCTATAATAAACAAGTCAAGGCTCATAAATTATTGTTGCTTGTCTGTAGAAAATGTGAGAGTGTTCTGTAGTGGTCTAGAGATCCTAGGGAGCATGAGGTGGGGTTGTTTTGCTGCTTTAGTCATCTCATCACGGAGGAGACCATGCGGCACCTGCTGCCCCTCAGTATTTGGTCCTCAGTGCTGGACCCTCCTCCCCCATCACAGGCTTCCCGTCTCAGAGTTCTTGTCTTCAGTTTCCCACTTGCTATGCTCGCCCCCTTCTAGATGCCATCGTGGCAGCCCTCATCTGTACTTGGGGTGCAGGATGGGAGGGTGACTCTTTAGAATGAACAGTTTTTACATGTGCAGGTGTGAATGTCTTTCTTTCACTAACGTCAGGCCTTGCCTGTTTCTGCCCTGAACTTCAGAACATTGAAGTTACAGCTCACTTGCTTTGGAGGCCACTCAGACTTTGCTGTTAGGATCTCCCCTGGCCGTAATATTGTTTCCTTTTTGTAGGAACAAGTACTGTGTTAGACATATCCTACCCCTAAAAGGAGAGACAGCCCCTTTTGATATAAAGCAGTCTACCTCCCTTCTATAAAAGCACTTTTGTTTTCTCTTATAAATAGTACTCTGGAGGGAAAAAGGCAGTGGACTTTGAAGAGCCTTTTAGGTGGCTTCTAAATCTCAGTGGAAAAATAAAACATTTCTACATCGTTAACCCATTCTTGAGGCTTAGAGCAAAGCGACTCCTGCCTTATGGCTACTGTTCATTAGGGACCCAGGAACTCTCGCTGCTCTGTGCAGGCTGGCAGTGGTGCTCAGCGTTGGAGGAGAGAAGGTCCTGTGGCGTAAGGAGTGAGAGCGCTTAGCAGAGGTGGGAAAAAGGATGCCCTGTGCTCCGTGCGTGGCACTCTGCCTGTGGCCGTGTATGTCAGGCGGCTGCAGTCCAGATGCTCCTGAGGAGCAGTTACATTATTACAAGTACATTCTAGGCACTGGACAGGCAGGAACAAATGACATGCGGCTGCAATTGCCAGGGAGCACTTAAAAGAAGACACCCACATATTCTGACGAGTTAGGAAAATGGTGAGAAATGTCCGCATCATATTGAGACTCAAAGAGTACCTGAGGGTATAGGAACAGTACCTCCATCTCTTTCACAGTGTCCTTCGGCTATCCTTGGAGCCTGTTCTGCAGCTGTGTGCGCTGCCGACTCTAAACCAGCTGACTCTACAAGGGATGGACCTTGGTGAACCTTGAGGAGATAGTTCCTCTGCAGAGATTTATACAGACTTTGCCTCGTCTCCGTGTCCAGCTTTCAGGCTGAGTTTAAAGAGAACTCAGGGGTCGAAGACTGTGGTGACTGCCCATGGGGGTTGTGCTCACCGTAGCCTTTTGAAGCAGTGAGGGAGAGACACCGGGACCTCCTTGACACGCTTGGCAAGCTGTTGGAGTCCTGGTGGGTGTGGATGGGGTCTCCTTTCCCCTTTGTCTGCCAGATGGAGTCACAGAGCAAGTGAAGGGGGTAGTCTCGTGTCTGAGTTCTCAGAGGTTCAGCTCCAGCTCACAGTGCTGCCTTCCTGTTCTTTGCTTCCTCGCCGCGGCAGGAATCACGACTCCTGAGCACCTTCTGTGGAGCCATCTGGGCAGGAGCCATTTCCCAGTTGATAGACACACTGGTGGAAGGGCGAGTGGTGCAAATGTTTTGTGACCTCCGTTCATCCTTGTGGGAAAATTCTTACAACACTTCCACCTTTCTTGGAAAGATTTTGCTTGCTAAGTGATAATAAATCATACAGAGGAATTTTATGCTATAAATAATAGTGAATTAGCAATATGGCATTAACCCCCTTGAACTGAAATTAAGGAGACATATCAGGCACTGAACAGATTTTAGAGAGTGCTTCAAAAATTCAGTGTGAAACTGAAAAGGAGTACATTTCAGTGTTGTGGTCACATTATAAAACATGAAAATACTACTGTTACCTGCGTATAGTAAGATCTTCTGCCTGCTTTTTCCTTCATGGGGATGACTTCCCACCCCCATCTGGAATCAGAACATGTATTTGGGTGAAAAAGAAAGAAAAATTCAAAGAAAATAAAAGGCTGTTGTATTGTTTATTTTTGAGTTCTATTTTGCACCCCCTTTGCTCTCCTTTCTCTGCAAAGTGATAGAAGTAAGCTGATTGTTTTACTTTTGCATTATTAAGCATTAATAGACATTACTTGATTTCTTTAACCTCTCAAAATAGATATTAAGAAATTTATGGTAGGAAAAATTTCATATAAAGCTATCCACAGAAATAACTGTATCTATACTCTTGTATGATACTCTTTTCTAATTTTCTAGGATATAATTACTGAAAGTCTAAATATATATCTACTTATAAGACAGTAGAAGACTAAGTGGATCAGTTTCTTACTTGTTTCCTTATTTATAGGGCATTAGTCCCTTGGATGTTTAGTTGAAATTTGAACATATGAAGGATGTAAGAATATAAGGAGAACCTCTGCCTTGCCTGGTGAACTGTAGCAAATGGCCTTAGAGCCGGACGTGATGTTGAGGGGGGTCTTTTCGTGACACACAGAAAGTTTCCTTAGTTGGCAAGGACTTGTGACACTCTTTAATTTATAATTTTTTCTTCCTTTATTTTCCTCAGTTTTTTATAACCTCCACGGAGAAATTGGTCTCTACTCTGAAATGCACAAAATCATAAAGTTAAAAGGGCAGAGAACGATAGTTTTCTAGTGTGTGAGAATAAGAAATGACTTAACAGTAATCTGTTTAGATCATAGGTTTCTGAACTTGTTTTTTTAGACACTGTACCACCTTTATTTTACCAAATGAAATGAAGTATTGCATGATTTTTTTTTTTTTTTGTACATGCTGTGAGGCATGTGGGATCTTAGTTCCCCACCAGGGATCAAACCTGCTTACCCTGCATTGGAAGCGTGGTGCTGCTCCAACTCAGTGCTGACAAGTTTGGTTTTTTTTTTTTTTAAGAAAGACATAAAGATTCTGATGAGAACTTCCCTGGTGGTGCAGTGGTTAAGAGTCTGCCTGCCAGTGCAGGGGACATGGGTTTGATCCCTGGTCCTGGAAGATTCCACATGCCGCAGGGCAGCTAATAAGCCTGTGCATCAAAACTACTAAACCCATGTTCTAGAGTCCATGTTCTGCAACGAGAAGCCACTGCAACTAGAGAGGAGCCCCGACTCACCACAGCTAGAGAAAGCCTGTGCACAGCAACAGAGACTCAGTGCAGCCAAAAATTCTTTACAAATTAAAAAAATGCTGATGAAATAAAGCATCAGAAGAAGCCAAACTGCCCAAAATGGCCACTTGAAAAATAAACCTAATCAAACAGACATTTTCTTTGGGGAAGAACATTTAATCACTTTTAGATTCCTATTCTTCCCCTCCCTCTTCCCCTAGTTGTTCCTCAGTTTTTCTTTGATTGAGTACTTTCTATGTATTTTTGACATGCTAGAATACATTTCAGAGAGCATTACTTTTTGGGGGTTTTATTTTATCATACTATGGAATGTTTTCCTTTTTTGACTCTTAGAACAAAATGCCCCAAGCTAAATGGGGCTAGATTACTTAAAATATAATATCCTAAAATATATATATATAATAATATCCTATTACTCTTCCTAAGTAAGAAGCACATTTTATTCTTTAAAATTCAGTATATGAATACATCAGATTATATAATACATTTTTCTTCCTATCTTACTAAAAAAAAAAATGTATGAAAAAAATCTCTTATTCTAAGAAAACTAAATTTCCCATAGTTTCAAACTTTTTATCAAATTAGCATTTTCTTAGAAAGTAATGCTAATAGTCCTTTAAATTCTTTTTTGTAAAGAGGATTGAAAAACAAATCCAGTGCATTTGTAATTGCCTTATTTTACCAGCAGTCCTTTTACTCAGTGAGTTTACATGCCAAAATTGATCCCTGTGATGGAACCCCAGGGTATAAACATTTGTAAACAGAAAGTATCAGCTTCAGAGAAAAGAAAAAAAGTGCTGTCTTTATCATTTTTAAACCTCTGCTCTTTGGGTATCAATATAAAAGAGGTAAGGTTATCACAGAATGAACTTGCAAAGGATAAAAGTTAGTGCCTACTGTTTTTCCAACAGCTTGGCAGAGACCTGTGGAGAAAACAGGGTGAAGAAAGACGAGAGGACTAAATGGACTTGAATGGAGTGAATGTGCAGGAACAGTGAAGTGTGAGAGTAAATTAGGAGGATCCTGGAAAAGTTCTGAAAGACAGGCCAAAATACAAAATGTTAATTTCCTTTTTGTTCACAGGCATGCATGTAGGGAATACCGGATTCACAAAGAACTGGATCATCCCAGAATAGTTAAGCTGTATGATTATTTTTCACTGGACACTGACTCGTAAGTACTATACTGTTTCTAGCTTAGCAGAGAATATTATTTTCTTGTAGTGTGATGACTCATGGAATGGAATTTAAATCTGGGTCCAGAAAATACTGTCTGAGGGGGCCAAATGTATTTTTGGGCAAATGATTATATTTGAATTCAGATTGGGGCCAGCAAGACATAAACATTTCTTGGCCACAGGATGGGTGCAGTTGTGTGCTGGTCAGTGTTTAACAACCAGCATGGAGGAGAGAGGCATAGGGCTGATGTGTACTGTTTGCAAGTTTCTGTGGAACAATACTCTGAACATGTCCAATTTTTTTAAAAAGGGGGGGCAGCTTTATTGAGATAGGTTTATATACCATACGGTTCACTCATTTAAAAGTACACAGTATTCATAGGTATATTGCGGCCATGACTGTAGTCAGTTTTAGAACGTTTTCTCTGCCTCAGAAAGAATCCTGTACCTTATTCTATCATCCCCCTTTTCCTCCACTCTACTCCTGCTGTAAGCAACCGCCTATCTGCTTTTTGTGTCTATAGATTAGCTATTCTGGGACTTTCATAGTATGGATCATGTAGTGTGTAAACTTTTGTGGGTAGCTTCTTTCACTTAGCATGGTGTTCTTTTAAGGTTCTTCTTATGTCATTTATCAGTACTTCTTTCTGTTTTATGACTAAATATATTCTACTGCCTGGAAATACTACCTTTTGTTTATCCATTTATCCTACCAGTGGCTTAAAAACTAGCTCACAAGATTTCTGAGAATTTAACTCTCAGCTCTCAGAAACTGGTACAAATTGGTGCTGGCCTACCACAGACAAGCAACAGTCAAGTGAGGCTGATGAACACTGATGGGCCTTTCGAAGTTCTAGCAGTATGACTTCATCATAGAATTAGAATGAAATGTGGCAGAGCCTAATGCTACATCTGAAAATATAGGTTGGTTCAGAGGCTTATAGGGATTTCAGTCCAGCCTTTTCACTTTGTAGGTGGAGATTGAGGACCAGAGAAGTTACATCTGAGATCTTTAATAATCGTAGGCATTATTGTATTTCATTACTTGGTATAGGTAAGCTCTCGATCTCTTGGTTTATCCAGGAGTTTAGAAATAGTTCAGCATTTGGAAACATCTCTGTTGGAGTCTGAACTGAATCAGGAAAGCATGCTTAGGCCTGGCCCGCAGGGGTTTCCTTCCACCTCCCAGAGTGTTCGGCCTCTTCCAGATGGCAGCTGTCTCAGAGCTTGCTGTGTGAGAGCCCATCCATGTTTAGAAATGGCCCCAAAGGGAGACCATAATCCCCTTTGGAAGCATCCACTCAGGGATTTCCCCTTTCCAGTCAAGTGCAGTCAGCACAGTGCTGTGTGTGGTTTTGAGTGGGATTCAGTAAAACAGTGAGTTAAAAAGCAGGTTTCCATAGGGTGGCTTTATTGTTTGCTTTCAACAAGTTCCTTGAATACTAGGAAGGACACACATACCCCCCAAATATAAGCACAAAAGCCATTTCAAAAGTAAATGCAGTGACTTGGATTACCTGCTGTTTTGAGTTGCATACACTTCTAACTGACCTGAGACGCCGAGTTGACTTTGCACTACTCTTGCGCTGTTTGCTTTGTCCTTCCTGTTGTGTGTATGTTGAATTTTTCCCCAAAATAAGTCAAATCATTGTTTTAGAAAGCTTTCTAAGAGTTGAGTATTAAAAATGAGATTTTATTTTCAGCTTGCATTGGGTCCAAAATAAATTCACTAAGCCTGAGAGTCTATGCCTCAGATTTCAGCATATCAGATCAGAGAAATCTATACATTTTAGGCCTATTTTCTCAAATAGGATGCTAGCATGTTGAGACATGCTATGTTTTGTAAGAAGCATGAGCCGTTGGTCAGTTTGGGGGTCCCTTGGGACTGTGTGTGTGTCCACATTTTGTTGCTTTGCTGCCTGAAGGTCTTCAGTGGCCCACAGGCCCTGAGTGTGAGTCCTGCGTCTGTTTGATCGTAGATGAGTTGGTCCTTGTAGGCTGTGTTCACCGGCCTCCTTTGTCAGTTGTTCAATGGGATTCATTCAGTGGAGAGACAGAGGTGGTGGTGGGTGGAGACTCCTCCCCCGATGGTCCCAGGTTCCCTTGGTGACCCTGGTTCTGATTGCACCATCTCCACCCTCTGGCCTTAGGGTGCTAATGACTTCCTGGTCTAGATGATTTCTAGGGTGCTCGCTGGCCACTTTGTCTTCTCAGCTCTTCCGTCATCTGTGTGATCAGTTCTCTGAATTAAAGCCTCTCCGTTTTAAATACTCCAGTAATTTTCATTTCCCAGCAAGACCCTGAGTGATTTAGCCACATTGTCACAGCTTAGAATAGTTTAAATGGTATTCCTCTCTCAGGAAGCCTTACTTCAGTTTATGACTGCCTTGGAAGACAGACACATGACCCTTCATACCATGAATGCTGTGTAGTTTTAGATTTGGATCTGTGTGACATACTGGTATAAGTGAAAGAAAAAACTCATACTATATAATGATACATTTGTTAGAACCACAGATACTGTCCTTTAAAAAGCTCTTTTATACCTTGTGTATTTAGCAAAGAAAAATCATAGTATGTGCAGTCTGCTAGGAGCAGTAGTACGCAGTCAGCCTTGGGGACCTGGGCAAACCCTTGATTCTTCTTTATTGTCACCACCCAGGGTGATATAAAATGTTTGCAGTGAAGATTGTGTATTTGATCATAACGTACTTGTTTAGAAATGGAGCATCCTGTGGATTGTAGAGTAAGTGTCTAGCCTAAATATATGACAGTTCCTGTCAGTATTCCTAAAGTCTGATTCAAGAAGCGGTGTGCCCTGGGTGAACTTTAGCAGAGCAGGTTCCAACGTGAAGAGTGCAGACATTCTTCACTAAGAGAGTTGGCAGTTTACTTCCTGTAAATTGCTAATACTAAATAAAGAATGCTGCTGCTGCTAAGTCGCTTCAGTCATGTCCAACTCTGTGTGACCCCATAGACGGCAGCCCACCAGGCTCTGCAGTCCCTGGGATTCTCCAGGCAAGAATACTGGAGTGGGTTGCCATTTCCTTCTCCAATGCATGAAAGTGGAAAGTGAAAGTGAAGTCGCTCAGTTGTGTCTGACTCTTTGTGACCCCATGGACTGCAGCCTACCAGGCTCCTCCATCCATGGGATTTTCCAGGCAAGAGTACTGGAGTGGGTTGCCATTGCCTTGTCTGGAATAAAGAATAGAAGAGTATTTTAAAGAGCAAAGAAGAAGGAAGTGAGAAGCTATCTACCTCAGTGGTCCACAGCCTTTTTGGATCCAGGGACCGATCGTGTATGTGGAAGACAATTTTTCCACAGACAGGGCAGGGGGTGGGGGCAGTCATTACATCCCAGATGACTTTGGGATGATTCAAGCACATTACATTTATTATGCACTTTATTTCTATTTTTATCACAGCAGCTCCACCTCAGATCATCAGCATTAGATCCCAGAGGTTGGGGACCCCTGAATTACCTGATGGTTTCACTGGGGCTTTAGTTAGACTTAATTGCTTTTTTTTAGTTAGAATTAATTGCTTAATTGCTTGCTTTTATCCCACGATCAAGTGTTGGTTTATTTGTCTTTAGGTTTTGTACAGTACTAGAATACTGTGAGGGAAATGATCTGGACTTCTACCTGAAACAGCACAAATTAATGTCGGAGAAAGAAGCCCGATCCATTATCATGCAGATTGTGAATGCTTTAAAGTACTTAAATGAAATAAAACCTCCTATCATACACTATGACCTCAAACCAGGTATGTCTAATTTTTAAGAGTATTGGTGGTATTTCTTTGGTCTTATAAGTAACTTTCAATTTTATAAAGTTATGGCGGGGGCCAAAAAGGCCTAATAAAATCTGACTCTAAATTCCTGGGTAGGTGTGGGAATAAAAGAGTCCTGGCCGCACAGCACGGGATTTAGGAGGTTGGGTCGTATTCGGCGCTCTGGGGAAACGATGCCCTTGTCTTTAGAGCCAGGGCAGTTCATGATGTCAGTCCAGTTAAGAAAGAACTGCTCTGGCAAGCTTGGTTTTGTTTTTCCCATTACTCACACTAGACAGCAATCCTTCTACCCCAAGTCTCTTTGATAAGTGCCCTCACATTAGCAAATTATTTTCCACGTATGCCCCCCATTTCATTAAATTCTGAGCAGAGTTTTCCATCTTTTTGTATGGTTACTGTCTAACTGATCGTTGTTGGCAGCGGAGAGAACGGTTTGACTTGTATCTGTTGTCATCCTCAGCCGTTGCTGAGCAGTCTGCCTGTGTGCTCTTTAGACAGCTCTGTCCCGCTGAGCTTAGGTGTTGGGAAGAGTCCGCTTTACCTCCTGGTGGGGACAGTTAACTTTGCCATCCTCTTCTGATAGCTACATGTTAAGTCTCACTATTCTTTAATGACTAAAGTGAAAGTGAAAGTCAGTCATGTCTGACTCTTTCGCCACCCCATGGACTATACAGTCCATGGAATTCTTCAGGCCAGAATACTGGAGGGGGTAGCCTTTCCCTTCTCCAGGGGATTTTCCCAACTCAGGAATCGAACGCAGGTCTCCCTTATTGCAGGTAGATTCTTTACCAGCTAAGTCACAAGGGAAGCCCCTTTAATGACTAAATAAATGACTAAAAATTCATTACAAGGAAGTGATTTTTAAAAGATGGCTACTGTGTGATTGGGTTTTCTATTACTGAATCTATTACATTCTCCTGCCCCAGGAGCTGTAGGTGGCACTGTGGTACTAACTTAGATTCCCCTGTATGTTTTCTTTGATTCCACACCACCCTCCCCAAACTGCTGTTCCAAATAGGGTGGTTTAGAGATCCTTACTGAAAGTTCAGATGAAAGTTTCCCACTATTTTTGACCAACCATACAAATGATATTTTACTTTGGCTAGTTAATTATTTTTTTCCACTGCTCACAGTGCTGGTTTTGGCACATTAAGCAGGTGATTCTTGGAAAAGAGAAATTTGCAGCCAGACACTTATGACTCTCCTCTAGCATCCAGAGCCCAGATTGTTTTATTCCAGAGATTTAAATGTTTGCTATTATGTGCAAGAGTTGGAGTCCAGTTGTCCTCTTCTTGTCTGTTATTATTACCTTGGCTTTTCCTAGTAAGTCTCTTTTTTATTCATGAAGATTTTTATCTTTTTAGGTAATATTCTTTTAGTAAATGGTACAGCGTGTGGAGAGATAAAAATCACAGATTTTGGTCTTTCCAAGATAATGGATGATGATAGCTACAATTCAGTGGATGGCATGGAGCTAACATCACAAGGTGCTGGTACTTACTGGTAGGTATCTGAGAGATCTGTCCAGTTGGCTGGAGATGTGACTGTGTTATGCTGAAGTGTTGGTGATTGTTCATTAGACTATATTCTGTCTGCTTAGGCAGAAATGCTGTATACCATAGTAGACTTTCCTCTCCAAATACTTGCTGTCTTGTCAGCGGTTTGACTCTTTGTATTTACATGAATTTGTCTTAATTTTTCTTTTTATTCTTAAAAACCATTGAGAGAGGGATTATGCATGACCAGGCGTTTTGAGTTGTGTGTTTGCTCTGTAGGTAGGCCCTACTGAGTACATAGAGAATGAGGTTACTCATGTGTATGTAAAGAATGGCCCTCACTTCCTTTCAGAATTTCAAATGCAGGTCTCTCTCTTCCTGAGTTGATGGGATGAGGAAGTTTTTTCTATAGTTGCCTGAAGATGGTGGACTGAAGAACCCAGGAGTTATGAAGATTAGGATGTAAAATAAGCACAGCATCCCTTGAAATCTAAACAGGAAAAAGTGAGCATGGTTTGCCAAGAATTGTATCCATTTCTGGCAGCCATGTTCCGAAAGGTTTTGAGCCACATTTCTTCCCATCTGTCCTCATTCGTCCACCCCCAGCCACTACCCAGCTGGCGCTGCCTGCTTGTTCTGTGCCCTGTCTTACTCTGTCTCGCACTCCTTTTGACAGTGAGCACCATAAAAGATACCTGCAGCTCAGGCATTTGACTTTGTGATTGTAAAGATGTTAACAGAACTTGCTTTTCACTTCTGAGGTTGTAACACAAAGCCACACATTGGAGTGTTTGATTCTGAATGTGGAGAAGCCTCTTGTAGCATTAAGGGAGGGGAAATGCATGCAGTTAAAATCCCAAGGTCCGTTGGCTAGATCACTGATGTTTGAGACTGGAGGACCCTAGCCCTTAGCCAGTTAGTGACTGTCTGGGAATGAGGGTGTTGATGGGAAGCAGACAGAGATGAGGGGGACATCAGCCCTGTTCTCATCACCCCCACCACATTGAAGAATTGATCATATCCTGCTAAAAGCACCATGTACATACAATTTCAACTTTCCCTTGTTCCTTATTGTTTGTGGAGATGGTACCTATAGTGAAAATCAGTCCCTAAATTAAAACTTTGAGATTCTAGGTTTAAAATAGAAGCTACACTTACAGTGTTTATTCACTTGGTGGTTTTTGTGGGTTCCTGTCAGTAAATGATACAAAAATATCTGCTGTTGGAAATTCTGGAAGCAGGTCTATACCTCTGCTTTATAAATTCACCAGAACTTGGATTTGAGCTTTTCATTTGATAGCTTGTTCTTTTTTAAAGGTGAAGATTTTTCACATTTAAATTAGTTATTTCATTGCTGCCTGTTGCTGTATTTGCTAAGCTATAAAATTCAGTAGTTTGGCATTTACATAAAAGTATGTTATGTTTGGGACTTGCTTCAAAGGAATCTGTTTGGGGGAGATTAAGAGGGGTGTACATGAACAAATATTTGCCATGTTGACAGTTACTGAAGCTGGATGATGTTTACTTGGGGGTTCATTTTATGATGTTTTTCTACTTTATATTTGAAGACTTTTTTTTTCATGGTAAGAATAAGGTAAAAAGGAAGCTACTGAGAAAATTAAATTGTTTGAGTTTCTTTGAAGGTTTAAAAAGTATAAATTCTCCATATTGGTGTTTATAATCACCATCCTCAGTGTCATCCTCATATTATGTCCCAGAAAGATACAGATAGAATGTGAGGACATAACAAATTTTAAGTGATCGTTTGCAGCATTCGTTTGTTTCAGAATTCTTCTACATGGAATACTGCTTTTAAACAAGTAACCCGTAGACTAGGCCTTGAAGATAATTTTTCTCTACGAGGATTTTATCATGATGGCATATGCAATTATGTTTGTTTTTTAAACACAATTTAGTGCAATATCTTAGAACTCTTTTCTATTTTCCTTCCCAAAGTCCTTGATAGGGACTTAGAATGCTTATTATGTGGGTGAAGAACTGGTCTGTTTCTTCATTTACAGATGGGGAAACTGAGACCTAGAAAGTGATATGCTAAACTTACACTATTAAGGGACCATGTCTTCTGTTTTCTCATTATTTGACCAAATTATTACTTTGCATTTGGATAAGTCCAACAACCTCCATTTTTCCTCACCACAAACAAGAACTTTTCTTCCCCACCACTTCCACACAAAAGTTATAAGTACATTAAAAGATCATTTTAGAATTAAGATCTTGTTACTTATCCAAGCTCATATTTAAATTATGTATATTAAAGAATCAAGAGCCATGAAAACCTGGGATTCAGGGAGGTTTTAGTGGCATTTGGATGAGCTGTTCTTTTTATAGATTCTTTCATCTATATTTTTATTTCTTTACCTTTCTCTCCCCATACTCCCCTTGTGAATTTTCTGTCTATATTTTCATTTTTCACTATGTGTTTTGGCTAGATGCTTTCATCTATGCCAAATAATAGTCTAGGTCAGTGGTCTTAATAATTTTAAAATGACTATTAAAAATAAAAGAAATAACGTAAAACTAAACTTCTTTAAAAAAAAAAGCCCATCATCTGAACATTTTCTGCCTCTCAACTCTTCTGATTCCCTTTCAGCTATACATTTAGGTTTTTACACCAGAAGCACAGCAGGGTTTAAAATAGCTTTTCACAAAATTGATTTTGCCAGCATGAAATCTGCAGAGGTCGATCTGTTATCTTCAGAATTCTGCCTTCCAGCTGTGCCATGGCTAAGACTCCAGGCAGTGAAGAGAGGCATATTATTTGGTTTCCTAAATGCTAAGAGGCACTTACCTTCCACACCATACAATTTGGTGTGGTTGGCTGTCCAGCTAGTCTTTTTAGAGGTCAGGAGTGGGTGGGGAGGGAAGGAATTAAGATGAGGATTGAGTTGGGCCAACAGCTAGAAGTTTATTTGGCTTTTAGGCACTATTTGTTAGTCTTCCATAAGCCCCTGATCATCCTTAAAGTAGGAAATATAAAATGTCCCTTCATAATTTGAACTTTAATGTCACCATTGATTTTAATTTTAGTCAGTTTAGATTTCCAGAAGAGGCTACCTTAAGAAGACACTTAGTAGCCACTCCCCTCAGATTTATGCTGGATCCTGAATTCATTTGGATTTTTAACAGTTATTTATTTTAGAGAGAGTTTCTTCTTCTGTCAGCATGAAAGGAAATCACACCACTTGTATTTTACTGTTTGTTGCTACAGCTATCATAAAAGGAAATGCACTTCTGTGTTCCCCCCCTCCTTTTAAACATTTGCTGAATGACATTTTACACTAGGCACAGCCCTGGAAAAGGATGCTGGGGTGGGTAAAGTAGGAACTAGGAAGAATCTTTACCTCTCTCAGTAAATAAGAAATGGGACATGACCACCTCCTTAACTTAGAGTGTCTTTATCAACTGGGTGTAAGTTGGCTTTCAGATGTTAAGATTCAGATATTTTTATTTTCATCAAAGTCTTTAGTTTGCCCTTTTGTACATGTCTTAGATTTATACAGTTGTTTTTCTAAGAATTTTTATTTCCCTTTTGTCCAGGTATTTACCACCAGAGTGTTTTGTGGTTGGGAAGGAACCACCAAAGATCTCAAATAAAGTTGACGTCTGGTCAGTGGGTGTGATCTTCTACCAGTGTCTTTATGGAAGAAAGGTAATGAAGACGGCTGGATGTGGCAGCTTCTGTCTTGGTGGTGCTGTACACAGTGGCACTGTGTAGATTATTCCCTTGGAATTAATCATTGGGTTATATAGAATGGAATCCTGAAAGTTGTGGTTTGAAGAAAATACAGACTTAATTATAGAAGCTTTATGCATATAAGCAGAAATGTTCAGTTCCAGGGCATCTAATGAATTCTCCTGGGCTGTTGAAGACATCCTTTTTTTGCCGTTCACAATTAGATCTAAAGAGCCCATGCACCACAACGAGAGAGCCCATATGCCGCAAGTCGAGAATCTCAATGCAGCCAAATAAATAAGTATTTTATATGTATACACACACACACACACACACACACACACAATCTTCCTGAGAGCCATTCTTTTTTTTTTTTTTTTTTCATTTATTTTTATTAGTTGGAGGCTAATTACTTTACAATATTGTAGTGGTTTTTGTCATACACTGACATGAATCTGCCATGGATTTACATGTATTCCCCATCTCGATCCCCCCTCCCACCTCCCTCTCCGCCCGATCCCTCTGGGTCTTCCCAGTGCACCAGGCCCGAGCACTTGTCTCATGCATCCAGCCTGGGCTGGTGATGTGTTTCACCCTAGATAATATACATGTTTTGATGCAGTTCCTGAGAGCCATTCTTAAGGGTCGCAAGAACTGAAACTTGAAATACCTGCAAGGCTCCTTATTCCCAGCCACCCCATTAGCATAAAGTATGATTGGATTTCTATACTGGGGAACTGGTGCCAGAAAGTACTTATTTTCTGTTGCTTCTAATAAAGGTAATATATTATTCGAATAAGTGAAAAGCTAGGTAGTAAACTACACATAATGAATTTCCACATTTATGTTTTCCTTGTGAGCATAATATCTTGTATATACTAGGATCCATTTGTGTATTTATATTCCTATTTCTGCTACCAGTGCATTTGTATGTTTCAACGTTCCCCATTGGGCTGTGGGTATAAACCATTTGGGAGTTCGGCAACTCAGTTAGATTCCTAATACTTTGATTACAGTCCCCAGACCAAACTCTTAATTCAGATCTCAGCTTGGTCTTTAACTTTGCTTTGGTCTTTGTTTCTTTATCGTACCTGTCTAACATTCAGAAACTATTCAGAACTAATGGGGTTAATTATTATTTATACTCTGATATTGTGGAAGTGCTGCTGATAATGGTGGCAGAGGTTATCTAGCAAGAATTGTGATCTCAGTAGAAACACTATAGAGATGACACTAGGTGTGAACTTCTTTCTTAGGAGTTTATTAGAAAATACTCACTGAGTAGCTCCAGATCTTTTTTTCTTTCTCCCCGACTATGTCCTGACCCCTCTCCTCTTTCACTTCCTTCCCATCTTTTTATCTGCGTCTTGGGTCCATCCGTGGCACACATGTATATTATTACTTCGGGCCAAAGAGGTTGCTGGTTCCCATTCTGAATCTTCCTTACCTTTGCTATAAGCAAAGCTTAGCAGAGGCACTGTGCAATAGCAAATGCTACTTCTGGTCCCAGCTCTGCATTAACCTAGATGTTGGAACTTGAGCAAATTACTTCAAAAGCAAGTTACTTCAAATCCACGCCTTTCCATCCTTTATAAAATGAGAGAATTAGAGGAGATCATCTCTAAAGTTTCTTCCAGCAATTCTTGTGGAAATACATGTTTACCTTTCCTTTCTCTTTGCTTTTGAATTGTGTTCTCTTTAATTTTAACCAGAGGCCTGCCTTTGTTTGTTTTTTTTATATGATAGCCTTTTGGCCATAATCAGTCCCAGCAAGACATTCTACAAGAAAATACTATCCTCAAAGCTACTGAAGTGCAGTTCCCGCCAAAGCCAGTAGTAACACCTGAAGCAAAGGTAAGTTTTGACTCATTGGCCAGCAGAAATGTCTGCTTTGCTTTCTCTATTATAATTTCTCTGGGTAATTTCTCCAACCTCTATCTTCTTCCCCCTGTCTCTTCCCACAACAAATACTTATTAGGTACCTAGTATTAGACAACTTCCCAGGTGGCACAGTGGTAAAGAATCTGCCTGCCAATGCAGGAGAAGAGGGAGATGTGGGTTCAGTCCCTGAGTGGGGAAGATTGCCTGGAGTAGGAAATGGTAACCCATTCCAGTATTCTTGCCTGGAAAATTCCATGGACAGAGGAGCCTGGCAGGCCACAGTCCATGGGGTCATGAAGAGTTGGACATGACTGAGCGACTAACCACAAGTGGAAGCACTGAACACTGTTCTGGGTAGTGCAAAGGGCTGGGACTGTATAGCAGTGAACTGTGTAGACAAGGTCTCTGCCCTGGTAAAGTGTGTGTGTTACTAGGTGAGATAAACAGTAACTGAAAATGAATACCTTTCAGATGGTGATAAATATTATAAAGAAAAGAAATCAGAATAATGGAAAGGGAGAGGTGGGAACCTCCTTTTTTGACGTCATGGTAGAGACAAGGTCTCCATGATGAAGTGACTCTTTTCAACAATCTTGACGGATGTGAAGGTAGGAGCCATGTGTAGATTTGGGGAGAGTATTCTGAGCAGAGAGAAGAGGATGAAGCTCAGATGTGAGTGTGAGCTTAGCTAGTCCCCAGAGCAGGCAGAGCAGAGGAGAGTGGAGAGAGACAGCAGGATGGACTTAAGCTTATGGGAGGCAGTTGAAGGTTTTCGTCCGGCCAGCCATGTAATCTGATTGCTCTTTCAAAAGCGTACCCTGGCAGCTGTGTAGAGGGAAGATTCAAGGCAAAAGGAGTATATTTGAGTTGGTATCCAAGCCAAGAAAACCTTCCAGCTCCAGATATCTCACTGAGGAATCTTCATTTTTAAAGGTCAAGGACCACTATGTTCATTTCTATGAGTTTGTTATCTTCTAGATATTTTAATAAAGCAACTGCCTATAGATGTTTTTGCTTTTGAAAAACCAGGAATTTTATCAACTAAACACGGAAAAATAGAAAGTCAGTAGTTCATTTTATGTTTTTAGATATATTAAAGTAGACTTTACTTTTTAGAGCAGTTTTAGACTCACAGCAAAACTGAGTGGAAAGTAAACATTTCCATATACTCCTTGCTGCTGCAACCCCCCTCCCTTTGCCCTGGCACACTCCCCCAGTGCACAGCCTCCTCCACCAGAATGTCAGCAACCTGCCCCAGAATGGTAAAAAAAATAGGAAAAGACAGATAATGTATGTAAGGGCCTCTGCCAATGCAGGGGACACGGGTTCAATCCCTGGTCCGGGAAGATCCTACATGCTGTGGGGCAGCTAAGCCTGTGTGTCACAGCTACTGAGCTCACGTACCTAGAGCCTGTGCTCTGCAACAAGAGAAGCCTCTGCCGTGAGAAGAAGCCTGTGCACCGCAACTGGAGAGTAATCCCTGTTCGCTGCAGCTAAAGAAAGCCCTTGCACAGCAATGAAGACCAAGTGTAACCATAAATAAACAAATAAAAAATAATTGTAGAAACTGAGGCTATGTAGCTCTTCATACCCAGCAGAAAGGAAACGTCCATGTTGGTAGTAAATTAGGAATCCAAATCAAACCCCACTCACAGTAAGCTTGTATGTTTGCAGAACTCTTGGGGGAGACAAGCCCTGGTCAGATTTTCCTTCACTTAGATGTGTGCCTGCTCATTTGCTTAACGACTTTTCAAGGGAGAATAAGATACACCGAGAAAGCACTTAGCAGCGCGTGACACGCGGCAGGGTTAGTGTCGTCTCTCACCTTTCCTGCGGTGATAGTTTGTCACTGCAGTGTTCACGTCCTCAGGAAGGTCACGTGAGACTAGGTGCAGAGCTGTGAAGTGAGGCTGTGCCCATGCACGCCAGCCAAGGCAGAGAGAGACTTTTCTTCTGCTCTTTGTGCTCTGGGGACAGAGATCTGTAGAGGTCATGTGCCGCTCCCCCTCGGGAATGACTCAGGCATCTGTGCTGGAGAAGGAGTCAGTGGCCACAGAGCAGCGCTGCATCTGGCACGTCTCCTCTGGGTCCGCCTGGTGGTTTCCGGGCGAGGCCCTAAGCCCCTTCTCTTTGGGAGACTTTTGCTCTGGGCCCTGGCAGCTGCTACAGAACCTCCTGGGTTCCCTCTTAGGGTGCCAAGATTACCTGCTTCAGGCTTCTTCAAGAAACTTTCCTTTCAGGCGTTTATTCGACGATGCTTGGCCTACCGAAAGGAGGACCGCATCGACGTCCAGCAGCTGGCCTGTGACCCCTACTTGCTTCCTCACATCCGAAAGTCGGTCTCCACGAGTAGCCCTGCTGGAGCTGCTATCGCGTCAACCTCGGGGGCGTCCAATAACAGTTCTTCGAATTGAGACCCACTCCCAGCCACGGACTATTCGACACACACAGAGTGGACGAACGGCGTCCAGCAGCGGGTTTGGAACATAGCGAATCCAAATGGATCTCATGAAACCTGTACCAGGTGCTTTTATTTTCTTGCTTTTTTCCCATCCATAGAGCATGACAGCATCGATTCTCATTGAGGAGAAACCTCGGGCAGCTCTGGCCAGGCCTCGTAGGAAAAGGCCCCGCCCAAGGTTCCGGCGTCAACGGCCACTGCGTGTGGCTGCTCTGAGTGAGGAAAAAATTAAAAAGAAAAACTGGTTCCATGTACTGTGAACTTGAAAACATGCAGACTCAGGGGGGGTCCCTGATGCAGTGCTTCAGATGAAGAATGTGGACTTGAAAATACAGACTGGGCTAGTCCAGTGTCTATATTTAAACTTGTTCTTTTCTTTTAATAAAGTTTAGGTAACATCTCCTGAAAAGCTTGTAGCACAAAGGCTCGGCTGGGGATGGTGTTTGACTTCGGAGGAAAAAAGTTGCTATTGCCCGTTAAAGGCACTAGAGTTAGTGTTTTATCCCTAAATAATTTCAATTTTTAAAAACATGCAGCTTCCCTCCCCCCTTTTTTATTTTTGAAAGAATACATTTGGTCATAAAGTGAAACCCGTATTAACAAGTACGTGGCAATGTTCATTCCAATCAGATGCAGCTTTCTCCTCCGTCTGGTCTCCTGTTTGCAATTGCTTCCCTCATCTCAGTAGGGAAAAAATTGAGTGGGAGTACTGAGATGTGTGGGGTTTTGCCATTGGACAAAGAATGAGGTTAGAACTCTGCAGCTTGGAGTCTCTCTAGGTTTTCAATTATTTCTTCACAATTTGAACACTTGACGGTTGTCCCTTTTAATTTATTTGAAGTGCTATTTTTTTAAATAAAGGTTCATCTGTCCATGCAGTCCTCTTGGATTCTCTGAATGTAGTAACCATTGAAACTGTTCCAAAGGTAGGCAGAACACAGGCTGGGGAGCCAGTGCTCCAAGGAGCAGGAATTCCCACCCACAGACCCCGTGAACTTGCTGAACGGTGTACATTTCTTGTTAACGATGACATTAAAACTTGCTCAGCGCATAAGCTTTCCTCTGTTAGATCTTTTGACAGGAAACAACCTCCAGCCACCTGCATTATGTGGGTGTGTGCTGGTGTGTGTGTCTGTGTGTGCGCACATGCACACACACAGACACACAAACACTTTGTCTAACTCACTTTAATAGATTCATTGAGTGAAGTTAAAAAATAATCTCAAAGGAAATAGGTATTTCAAATATGAACATTCTTTTGGAACTTTTTTTTTTTAATGTGGTTGTTTCTGAGATGGATGATCAGCTGAAGATGGAGCTGAAATGGGAGCTGCGTGGCCCCCCATGCCCTTGAAACAGCAGAACACTCGACAGTAGAGGGGGGAAGGAGGCCAGAGTCTGAACATGTGGTAGCCAGCTTGGAATGTTACTGACATATGTGGCAAGAGGGCTCAGCCAGAAATATTTAAAGATGCAGTACTCAGGCATGTGAGTTGCCTGGGCAAGGGGCAGGCTGGGGGGGCGGGGTGGCGGCAGTCAGGAAGGGTAGAGAGCACTCAAATGACTCACAACTAGTATTTCTTTTAAACGTGAGAAATGCCAGTAGTGATACATTCTCCAGGACCTTTATGGACCTGCCCCATTCCCAGTGTCAGGCGATCTTAAGGGAGGATGGAGTGTTCCAGATTAGAGAGAGGCTCGTGGGCAGGTGTTGTCCCGTGGAACTCTGAAGGGAAGGAAGTCAGCTCCTGAGTGCTTGCTCCCCCCCCAGCTTTCCACAGCAATCTTACTGCAATATATATATTTACACACATGTATGTATAGTGTCTTTTTCTTCTTTAACCATTACTTTCAAGCTGCTAAGCAGAGTACCCATGGGGTCTCAAAGGTTGAGCACAACACTGTAAGGATGGTGCCTACATAGGTGAAGAGATGGATGAAGTTGAGACCATGTTTAAACTTACTCAAGGCAATGAAGTTCTGTTCCTCTTTTCTTCTCACCCATTCAGTGATCTTGAAGAATTGTGTTTTGTTTAATTTCTAACTTTCTTCATGTTGAAGGAACGCTGCATCTTTAAGCCTTCCCTCTAATTTCCTGCCTCCTTTCCCCCAGGTTCTTACGAGCCAAGGTGTAGAATGGTATTTGGTAATTTATCTTTTCTGCCCTCCTCCTGAAGAAGGGATGCCCTCTTTTCCTGCTCTTCCTGGGCCTAGGGCTTGGCTGGAACTGTCTGGGCTTGGTTGAGTCTGGGCACAGCCTCTTTCCACTGCATGGATAAGCCCCAGGGAACAGGCAGAATGGTGACCTTTTCTAGACTTGTAAGTAGCCAGTGAAATCACTAAGTGGAGTTCTTCCATGACATATTTTGTTAATATGGGTTTCACTTTTTCCAAGGATAATCCCTTATTGCCACAATGTTGATTTCCTTTAAACAATGACTCCCCCCCCCAAAAAAAAAATGTATATTAATTTGTAATTAAACCCAGCCAGACTGTTTTGGCCTTTCCCAATTTGGAGGGTGGGGAGGATATTAAAATAAGTTTTAAGAAGTGACTTTCCTAGCCTCTTGATTTTACTGTAGTTCTCCAGCTTCAATCAGGACCCTCACCACTTAGGGTATAGCTCGAGGACTCCTGGCAGCTGGCAGAGTCCCAGTGGATGTCACAGTCGTGATGGGAATGTGTGGGTTCATGTGACATCTGTCACCCTTATGTGCCAACAGCTAGAGTTGTGACTGGGAACAGCCACAGTGAACAGAACGGGCAAGGCCTAGCCGTGACCGTGAACTCATAATTCAGGGCTGGAGGCACTGGCCTGAGGAAGGCATGAAATACAGAGGTCAAAGAGAAGGAGCTGGGCTCTCCCTCTTCCATCACGGCACAGCAGCTTTACGTGGAGTCTCGCCAGGCAGACACGTACGAGCCCCACTTGTGTGGCTGGCCTGGACGGGTCTGCTGTCTTTTTTTAGAGGGCTTGTTTTTTTCTTGCCTTCTAGTCCAGGAAGGACAGGTTTTCCTCCAGCTGCGAAGACTAGCAGTCAAGGAGCTCTTGAGTCTCTTAATTTAGAAAATAACTCCCTTTAAACATAGTTATCTCCTAGAATCCTAGAGCTAGAAGGCCTAGCTCCTTGCCCCTAAGAAGGCGAAGTTTGTGACTAACTTGACTCATCTTTGGCAGTCTTTTGCTTTCTGAGAATCTTTCCTTTTCTCTAGCACACATCACTCTTCGTCACTCGAACCTTCTTTGCCTGTAATTAAAATCCACCTGGGGTAAGTGGGGGAGAGACAGGATGCACAAACTAGCTATTCTGTTTTAGTTTCTGAAGGCAGAAGTTAAGAGCTTCACCTAGAGGTTAAGAGCCTGGGTTTTAGAATTAGGTCTGGTTCAAGGCCCGCCTCCACTGGCTTCAAGAATTTCTCCTTGCATGGTTAGAATAAGGAGTAGAAGTGAGGTATTTAAAGTACCTGGAACACAAGGGGGGAATCAAAAAGTGTGATTTTAAAAAGATCACAAGATTTAGTGAGACCAAGACTGCTGGCTGAGGCTCAGAGCCTTTCTATTCTCCAGGTTGTCAGGAGGTTTTGCCTGGGGTTAGGATGCAGACCTTGGGGAGCCTTCCTCTCAGTCTTGAGATTCACTGTCAACCTCTGTCCTGCAAGGTCAGCAGTCTTCTCTTACCCTGCATTCAAGACTGCTCTGGGAGGAGGCATCTTACAGGCCAGTGTGGCCCCTAGGCCAGCAGCAGCAGTATCACCTGGGAACCTGTTGGGAATATACATTCTCAGCCACCCTCTCCCCTTATCTGTCTCCCAGATGGCATGAGCACTGAAGGTCACAAGCCCTGCTGACCTTCTCATCCACCCCAGCCAGGGCGCAGTTGGAGGGTGACTTTCATGGCTTGTCTAAACTCACCCAGCTGGAAGACAAGATGGCTTTGTTTTACTTTTTGTGTTGGGGATAAAAATCTGCTTTAAGCTCCAGGCTATCCCAGGACCAAACATCATACTGCTAATCATACTTCTATAACCTTTTACAGGTGCCTTGCTACCTAACAGCATTCTCAAGAGTCTCCTTCTGGCAAAGCTTCTTACCTTTGGTCTTCTCTTTAAATGTGTGTGTGTGTGTGTGTGTGTAAACTCATCCTTCTTGTGAATTAGTTTGTCACATTTTTCTCTTTACCTGAGGTCCCAGGGCTGCTGGAGGATTGAGGTCTGGATCTGCTTGTGGGTCTAGCCTGGCAGTTGGGGTCTGGGCCGAGGAGCAGGGCCGAGCTCCAGCTCCTTGGAAGGGGCTTGGGGAGGATCAAGCTGCAGAGAGGTCATGGGGAGAGGAGGGGGCCCTGTGGGTGGTTTGGGGGAAACTGCCAGAGGCTGGCAAAGCCGGCAGGCCTGGGAGCAGGTCTGGGGTATGGTGGGGGCAAGGAATAAAGAGACCTATTGTGTTGGGGAAGCTTGCAGGGCCGGAGACAGGCTGGAGTCAGCAGAGGGGGTGTGTGTGGTATTGGGCAGGAGACCCCATGGTGTGAAGGGGTCAAAGAGCTACAGGCTGGCTGGCTCAGCCTCACCCATCCTTGGCCACCAGGCAGACCTCCTAGGTGTGGTGGGAAGTGCCCAGCAGAAAACTTCGGGAACCTCAGCCTCCTCGGCCTCCAGGCACAGCCTGCAGCTGCAGTGGCATCCAATGCTGTCCCAGCCTTTTCACCCTGAAGGCAGCTTGGGGTGGGGGTACCGAGGGCAGGATCCACAGAGGGAAGGGGCTCTCTTGCTTCTGCTTGGCAGAGAAGTTCCTCAGCTGTGTGGCTTCCCAGCCTAGGGTGGGCAAGGTAGAAGCATCTCGCTAATTCTGTGTACAGGAAACCAAAGCCCAGATAGATTTGGTGACTGCTAGGAAGTAGAGGGGGCTTCCCAGGTCGCTCAATGGTGAAGAACCCGCCTGCCAGTGCTAGAGATGCA